CCCCCCCCCAATACCCAGCAGAAACTATTTTGCCCTTATTCCTAATTTTGTGGTAGAGAGAGTATAAGCAGTAATAGGAAGGAACAAGGGTTTTAATTTTTTTAAAAAAACTGACTCCTAGCTGGGCATGGTGGTATACAACCGTAATCCCCATTGCTCAGAACGCTGAGGCTGGAGGATCCCAGGTTTGAGGTCAGCCTGGGCAACATAGTGAGACCCTGGCTCCAAACAAACAAACAAAACAAAGCACTCCACAGTTGAGTCCTATCTAATTCACAAAATTATTACATAGCTAAAACATAAGCAATATGAAACCAACCTAAAAAAAAAAAATAAAGTCCCCAGAAAACTGACTTAGAAACTGGTCTGCCACTTTGTAAGTTAACAAGACAATAAACTAAGTCAGAGGTTGGCAACCATTTCCTGTAGAGAGCTAGACAGTAAACACTTTAGGCTTTGCAAGTCACATATACTCTCAGGCACATTTTGCTTGTTTCTTTTTTTTTTTTTTTTTTTTCTTTTTTACAACCCTTTAAAAATATAACAATCATTCTTAGCTCATGAAGTATACAGTAATAAGTTGTGGTCTGAACTTGGTCCTAGGTGTAGTTTCCTGACCCTCTTATGCTAAGTGATGTGCCAAAAGTAGAAGACTTTCTGGGCAGTTCATTCATCTATCACCTACTTGTATATAATCAATTCCAGGATTTTCATTAGTAGCTGGTCCAATAGCCCCCTCAGCACATAGCCTTTCACCCAGACAAAATTTTTTCCAGCCTTCTTCATCTTCAGATTTTGGCTGAAAGACAAAAAAAGACTATTTATTTTACATATTACATTACATTTGCATATTACTTAAATACTTATAGGTATGTATTTATCATTACAATGAACAGTATAAAAAGAAGTGAGGATTCCCCTATTCCCACTACCTCAACACAAAGACATGGTGCCAATATGGGAAGAATTGTGTGTCCCCCAAATTCATGTGTTGAAGGCTGAACCTCCAGTACCTGAGGTTGTGATTGCACTTGGAGACAGGGCCTTTCAGAAGGTGCTTAAAATTAAATAAGCCCATTACAGTGACCTCTCTGCTAATTTAATTGGTATCCTTATGAGTGGGTGCACAAAGAATACATCTCTCCCCCCACCACCCCAAAGATCGATAGCTTTCATTAGATTCTCAGAAGTAACATGATTTCCTAACAGGTTAAAAAAGATTTCCTGAACAATGTATCCATCTCTTTGGCAACTCCTATTTTTATTTGGAAGTGCTAATGTATCTTCTGAAAGCTTAAAATTATATCTAAACTGGTAAAATGTAGGAAACACTACTTTTAATATGCATGACAGGATTCTCTATTAAGTCAGGCTACTGTGAAGCAGAGGTGATACTCTATAAACATGAGAGTTCACTGCATGGCACCATTTTACCCCATCAGGAGAATCTATAAGCCTTTATTCAGTTTTTTAAATGTTGAAAATGTATTTATTTCCTAAAAAGTAATAGTCTAGAAGAATCCTTAATAACTTGCAGAGGCCAATTAATCACTATTTGTCAACCTAAATATCAAAAAAATCATAGAGATTCTCCAAAGCATAATACTCATTTGAGGATAGCAGAGCATTGCAGTGGGAATACGTGTGCCACAGTTTACATCAGACATTTTGAGACAACCTCATGATTAGTTAGAAGAGTGGCATTGATATGCTGAGCAGATGTCCTCGTAGAAGTACTTCTTTGTTCTTTTTTTTTTTTTTGAGACAGGGTCTCACTGCATAGCCTAGGCTGGCCTTGAATTCACTACATAGCCCAGGCTGGCTGTGAACTTGTGATCTGTCAGCCTCAGCCTTCCAAGCACAAGGTTGTGGTGGCCTTAGTAAAATGCTATTGTTTGGCAGTCTTTTGTGATGGCTACTATTACACAACCATGTATAAATACCCTACCCTCATAACTTCCAACTTTTTGCTTTTTTTTTTGTTA